CGCTCGGCGAGATGGCGGCCGCCGCCGCGCTTGGCTGGGAGCCGCCACTCTCGCTGGCGCCCTTTGCGGTGGAGAGGCTGCTGGGCGCGTCGCTGCCGGACGAGTCGCTTGCGAGTAGGAGGTGAAAAGGTAAGCGAAATAAAAGAAATCGCTAGGGTGCCCGCAGTGGTGCACTAAGACTAACCTCCGAGAAACCCTTCGGATCGCTCCCTCATCGCAAACCCTGTCAGCAGAGTCCTCCGGGAATGTACGTAAGAGCCACATACACCGAAAACCCGCCTGCCGGCCGACCTCGCCTCACAGCATGTACATGACGGCTTGCCCCCCGCAGAAGCAGCAAAAAAGAAATCGTGGAATATATATATGAAGTCGGTCTGACCCTCTCTCGCCAGCGCGCCTTGGTTCGGCGTGGCGCGCCTACCGTGCCCAGTGTTGTGCGCGCGAGCTTTTTCCTCTTCCCGGGACGACGTACCGGAAGCCTGGGCAGCGTGCTAAAATTCTTTTTGCTGTGCCAGTGCCTTTGTATGGCGCCGCCGCTCGAGGCGCGCGTGCCTCGCGCCCCGGCTGGTACTTTCAGCCGCAAGCAGCGCGAGCTTCGCATCAAGCGCGGCCTGTTACTACCTCCGGCCTGGCGCGTGCCGACCGAGCGCAGCCTTCACTTCTTCTTGAAGGGCGTGTTGTGCTGTGCGGAGCTCCTCGACGCCATCCAGACCTGGCGGACTGGTAAGGAGAACACGCTGCGTCAGATCGCCGAAGTAATAACGCGACAGCTGATATCCAACACGCCTTCGTCGCGACACGCGCTCATCAAGCGCTTGGTCCGCGACGCGCTGCTGAGCGACAGCGAGGGCAACTACTACTCGATCGCAGCTACCGAGAAGAGGTTGCGCCACCTCGACTACGAAGACTGCTGCGCGCGTGATCACTACACGAGTCGCAGCTACGGCAAACGCTTTCACCCCTACGTCCTTTACAGGTTCATCCTGTTCTTGCAGACACACAACAAATTGTTGCGCTCTAAGATTGAGCAGACGGCATCCTGCGCCGTGTGCAAGGAGCGCGCCGCGCGCCGCGCCGAGGAAGGCGGCGTCCCAGTCATCTGGCGGCAAGCGGAGCCGTGCCGCCATTGGACTTGCGATACGTGTACCCGCGACCTCGCCGCCCGCGGCATGGCCAACCACTGCAGCTTGTGCCGGGCAAGGGTGATCTCCTACCCGCTCGGCGTTGCGCCCGGCGCCAACCAGAGCTGACGCTCCATCTAGGGCGGGGCCGGTGCGCGTCGGTGCACCCGGCTCCGCGTGCTGAGCGACCGTCTAGCAGTGTCGTGTGTGGTACCGCGAGCGACGCGTAGTCGTGTGTATGTCTCGCTCTCCCTCTCGGCGGTGGCCGGTGCGTCGAGCGTGACGGGGATGAGATACGAATCTCTCGATCGCCCGAGGTAAGGTAATTTTTCAACGTGGTGGGGGAGGGCCGGGGCAACCCGCGCAACTCCACACCCACACCCACGCCGCACGCGCGCCTGAATCACTACGCAGTGAAACCACCCCCTTCCCAACCCTCTCAGGGACGGACGCATTTCCCCCCTTTCAAAGGCGGTTTCGAAGTTGATGAGACCTCGTCCCCCCCTCTCCAATGAAAAGCGTAAAAAGAGGCGCGGAACAGGCCGGAAGCGCCGCTTGGACGTGGGTCACACAATGGCAGCGCTCCAGACGCGCTCTGGTAGCTGCCAATGAAGCTGCAGCCCATCGCGCGCGCGCCGGACGGCCGCTGCACCTCCACTGCAGTGCCCTCCTGCACCGAGCGACGCGTCAAACCTTTGTTGCTGCCCATGACCGCCGGCGGCTCCGAGCTCGGGCGAGCGAGCCCTGGCTGAGCTGAGCCTCTGCGGTCGCAATGCAGCGCTGCGGTCGGTGCAGAGTGGAGGGGGCGTACGGCGTCGTACGCGCACGGCCGCTCTGCCTCAGTGGCGTGCGGCTTGGGCCAACTGGAGGTCGCTCTCCGACCTCGCTCGCCGAGCTCACAACCCGGCGCGAGCCGCATTGAGTGGAAGTTCGACTTCAGCTGCCGCGAGTGGATGGACTGCCTTGTCGAGTGCGAGCAGTTGGGCTCCGCCGGGAGCACGTGGTGCAACACGTTCTCTGGGCGCCAGCAGACGCGAGCGCGCGAGCGCGTGTTGAACCGGACGCTCCAGAGCAACACTCAAGAGATACACTCGAAGGGGGGTACACGTTTTTTATTTGGGTTCGGGGCCCAAGAGTACACTCTTGGCGACGAAACCGAAGACGGTTGGCCCCGGGGTGGTTTCACTGCATAGTATGCTAATTGCTATTTCCTATTACTAATCGCGGTGTCGACTGTCGTCTTCCTGGTCGTCTAGCATGGTAGGGCAACGGCTTGAGTGAGCGCTCATCTCGGTTCTCGCTCGCTCTCTCGAACCACGGCTCTCGATGTGTATGTCTCTATCATCCGTGTAGTGTCTCTCGCGTCTCGGCACGGCCTCTCCACCTCTCGCGGGCTCAGCTATCCGTGAGTCTCGCTCTCTAAGGGTGTGGGACGAGTATCTCGAATCTCGCGCGCTCTCTACGTGCGCACAAACAAACTGTGTCCCGCCGAGGAGGCGCCTCACGCCAGTCGATGGCCGGCCGGCAACGCCTCTGCTCGGCACCGCCATCGGGAGATGGCGGGCGGCCGGGGGAAGCGGCTCGCGGGCCTACACGCTAGCCGCCTCGGCCTTGGCCGCGGCCTTGGCCGCGGAATTGGTCTGGCGGCAGAGCGGGCAGGGCCCGCCGGTGGCGACGGCGAGGTTGACAGCGACGCGGCCGTCGCCGGCCGCGCTCAGCGCGCTCAGGCTGGCGCACACGCGCGCCTGCTTCGAGCGCACGTGGTCGCCTGCTGGCATCGTGTCGACGGGCACATCGCGGCTCGCCATCGCCGCCTCGCTCATGTCGAGGTCCGGGTCGTGGGCGTGCTGGGTGAAGGCGAGCGTCGGCGGCGCGGAGACCTCGCCGCCGCGCGGCGCCGCCTTGACCTGCTGCTTGTAGGAGATGTAGTCGTGCTCCCAAACCTCCACGACGACGTAGCCCTCGGGGCGGGACGTGCCGTCGAGGCCGAGGTGCGGCCCCTTGATGTACTGCTCGGTGCGGCCTGCGCAGGGGGAGGAGGCTAAGCCACGAGCCGAGGTGGGCGCATGGCGGGGCGGAGCGGGGCGCGCACGGCGCGTCTTGTTCCACAGCGCCGGGCCCCACTGGTGCCCGACGCCGAACGTCTCGTGCAGCGGGTTGCCGGGGGGGAACCCGTGGTAACGGTTGCCCTGGTACTGGTAGGCGACGAGCGCGCCGTCGGAGGCGCGGCGGCACACCGCGTCCACCTTGATGCGAGGGTGGTCGGCGAGGATGCTCGCCTCCCAACCTATTCACGGAAGGAGATGTGAAGAGGCGCGCTGCTCACCGCGAGCGAGGGGGTTGGCGGCGAGCGCGTGCACCCTCGGGCTCCTCGCCGACCTCGAAGTGCACGTGGCGAAGCACGTCGAGGCCCTCCTGCTTGGCGAGCACGTGCAGCGCGTCGCACGCCGCGTGCGAAGCGCCCGCCTTGTGAGACGACTTTGTGCCCGCCTCGACCGCGTGCTTTGAGCAGAGCTGGTGCGGGGCCGAGCGGCCGGAGGCGTCGGGAGGGCCGTCGAACCCGGCGCAGACGAGCTCGCCCTCGCGGGAGCACACCACGCAGTAGGCGGCCGACGAGTCGCCCGGCCACGGCACGTTGCGGCGGAGGTACTCGGACCTAGGGATGTAAAGAGACACGGTTAGCTGCCGTGGCCGAGCGAGCCGTCGGGAGCAGAGGCGCGAGTCGCGCCGCGAGCAGGTCGCGCAGATGTTGGGCGTGTTGAGGAGCGACGGGTTCTTGAACCCGTAGCCCTCGAAGGGCTTGCTGCAGCCGCCGCAGACGCGGTAGTCCTCCGGCAGCCGCGCGCTGCAGTTGCGGCGGAGGTGAGCCGCCATGTCGACGACCTCCAGGCCGCAGTGCTCGCAGGCCACCCGCCGCTCCGCCGCCGGCCCGAGCAGCGAGCTGCAGCCGCGGCGGCGGTGAGCCGCCAAGTCGACGACCTCCAGGCCGCAGTGCTCGCAGGCCATCCGCCGCTCCGCCGCCGGCCCGAGCAGCGAGCTGCAGTCGCGGCGGCGGTGAGCCGCCAAGTCGACGACCTCCAGGCCGCAGTGCTCGCAGGCCACCCGCCGCTCCGCCGCCGGCCCGAGCAGCGAGCTGCAGTCGCGGCGGCGGTGAGCCGCCAAGTTGACGACCTCCAGGCCGCAGTGCTCGCAGGCCACCCGCCGCTCCGCCGCCGGCCCGAGCAGCGCGCTGCAGCCGCGGCGGCGGTGCTGCGGCAGGTCGAGGACCTGCACGGCGCAGTGCTCGCAGGCCTGCCTCCCGGCTGGCGACCGCTTCCGCTTCTTGCCGCGGCCGGCGCGCAATCTCTTCACTGCACAGCCCGGCACTGCGCCGTCGTTGGCGGCTGCGAGCAGCGTGTTGAGGTCGCCGAACACCACCTCGGCATCCACCGGCTCGTCGAGTGCCTCCTGAGGCAGCCGCGAACGACTTGGAAAGACGTCAAAGAATTTTACCGGAAGTCACATGTTTTCTTTAAGGCCCTTCTCCCGTTCCCCTGTGTCCCTGATCGTCCTTACAAGATCCTGCTCGTGCAGGTGGGGACCCTGTCCTTCTCCCACCCCTCGTTTGGCGTGCCCGTTTTATTTATTTATTTATTCCCTGCGAACGCGCACCCCCTGGGCTAGGGCTCTCTTGCCCGCAACCCGATGCCAATCATCCGGCCCGCTGGGTGCGCTTCTGAGCTCCCCGGCCCTGGATGTGCGGTTAATGACTGCACTCCAAGTGCTCCAAGCAAAGGCGGTGCCACAACACGATTCACGCGACAGGCAAGGCACGGGCGACGGCTTCCTCAGAAGCCGTCGTCCACGGTCAAAGAATTTTACAACAACGGTCGCACTTGAATGCTCGCCTTGCTCGCCTTGCTCGCCCTCGCTCTGCCCCAGCCCTTCGAGTTCGCGCGGATTTCGCGAACTCCGAACTCGAACGAACGCAGCCGGCGGGGCCCAGCCCGAACCTCGAAACTGAACGGACCGCGCCGGCTGTGGAAGGCGCGAACTGCGAAAACGAACGAACGTTCGTGAACTCCGTTCGAACTTAGGAAAAAAGAAAATCATCGGCGGAAATTCGTTCGTTCGGCGTGCGGTTCAGCCTCGAGCCGCGCTGAACGAACGAACTCGCGCAACTGCGCCACGTGCGCGCGTGCGGACGCGGTCTGGCCCTCAATCTCAGGTGCCCATATACACAGGCGGCACTAGCACAGTTCTGACGGTCCGCGACAGTCTGCAATCTAGCGGACTACGGGCGCGACTACCCCGGTGCGCCGCCGCCCGCCGCGGACCATTGAAGAGGGGACAGCCATGCCCGCCTCGCGCGCCGCGCTTCGCACGCCGCCTCCACCGCCGTCTGCTGACAGCGCGCCGGGTGTCGAAGTCCCAAAGAACGTCCTCAAGGCGGCCGAGAACGGCCGATTGGGAGCGGTGCGATTGTGGCTGAATGAAGGCGGGAAGGCCGACACTCTCGCTAAGTTGCCCTCTGAGGTCAGCGGCCGTCCGATTCCATGCACCCTGCTGATGCTCGCCGCGCAGCACGGGTACGCGCAGATTGTCGAGCTCCTCCTGAAGCGTGGCGCCGACATCAACTTGCAAACCAGTCTCGGCACCACTGCGCTCAGCACTGCCGCCTACTACGGCCGCGAGCGAATGGTGGAGATGCTGCTGCAGCACGGTGCGGAGATCGGGACGGCGCTGGTATATTCCGCCCACAGCGGCAAAGAGCGGGTGGTCGATCTGCTGCTGCGGCGTGGCGCGGAGATCGACCTGCAAGACAAGAATGGTGGCACCGCGCTGATGCTCGCCGTCTGCTTCAACCGCCCCGCCGTCGTGCTCCGCCTGCTGCGGGCGGGCGCGGACATGACGTTGCGCGACGTGAACGGCTTTTCGGCGCTGCAGTGGGCCAAGGAGAAGGGCCACGCCGAGTGCGACCAGGCCTTCAAGACGTACCTCGGGGAGGTGGCGGCGGCGGGCCGGAGCAAGGCGCCGTCGGCCGAGGCAGGCGGCGCAGGCGCGGCGGTGGGTGCGAGTGCCGCGGCCTCTGCTCCGAGCGGCGAGGGTGGCGCGGAGGCCAAGCCGAGCGGCGGTGCGGTGCCAGAGGAGGTTGTGGACGCGGCTGGGCGAGGCGATGAGGCGTCGGTGCTGGCGTGGGTCGACGGCGGCGGGCAGGTCGACGCGGCGTTCGTGTGCGTCTATTCGGACGGCCCTGTGAACGGCATGACGCTGCTGATACTCGCAATGATCTGCGGCCATGAGGAGTTGGTCGAGGCGCTGCTCCAGCGCGGCGCGGATGTCTCGTTGCCGAACAGCAATGGCGACACCGCGCTGAATCTCGCCGCCGGGAATGGCCACGAGAAGCTGGTCGAGTTGGCGTTGCGGCACGGCGCGGAGATCAACGAGCGAAGCGAGTTTGGCATCACTGCACTGATAAACGCCGCCGGCAGAGGCCAGGAGAAAGTGGTCGACACGCTGATCCGGCACGGCGCGGCGATTGACCAGCAGGCCATCGACGGCGACACCGCACTGATTCGGGCCGCTTTCTTCGGCCACCTCGCCGCCGTGCTCCGCCTGCTGCGTGCGGGCGCCGACCCGAAGCTGTGCACTACGAGTGGCAAGACCGCGCTGCAGTGGGCCAAGGAGCAGGGCCACACCAAGTGCGTGCGCGCCCTCGAGGAGCATGCGGCGGCCGAAAAGGCGGCGGAGAAGGCGGCGAAGAAGGCGGCGGAGGCGGCGGAGAAGGCGGCGGCGGAGGCGGCGTGGGCCGCGGGAGCGGCGGAGAGGGCGGCGCAGAGGGCGGCGGAGGAGAAGGAGGCGGCGCGGCACGCCGAGGAGCTGCTGGCGGAGGTCGAGGCGGAGAAGCGCGCCAAGGGGAAGAAGGGCAAGAAGAAGAAGAAGAAGGGCGGCGGGGCGGGCGCAGCTGCTGGGCCGTCGCAGGAGCCCGAGGAGGTTGCCGAGGCGCCGTCGGAGGCAGACGCAGCCGAGGCGGCGAAGAAGGCCGAGGAGGTGAGGATCCTCCTGCTTCTCGAGACGCTCACCGAGGAGAGGATCCGGTTCGGCATCACGGCGGAGAGCCAGGCCGCGGCGTCGGCCGAGGTGGCCGAGGCGTCACGCTTGGCCGAGGAGGCGGAGGAGGCGGAGGAGGAGGCGGAGGAGGAGGAGGAGGCCGAGACAGCGGCCGTGGCGGCGCTGGCTGTGGCCAAGGCTGTACGGGCGGAGTCCAGGGCGGCGGAGGAGGCGGCCAGGGCGGCGATGGACGAGGTCGTGGCGGCGCTGGAGGAGGCTAAGGTGGCGATGGAGAAGGCCACGGCGGCGCGTGCGGGGGACGAGACGGCGTTTGAGGAGGCGGCGGCCGCTGCAGAGGCAAGGGGTGCTGCTGCGGCCGCTGCAAGGGCCAGGGCGGCTGCCGCCAGGATGGCAGCGGAGGCGGCCCAGCGCTCATAGCGCGAGCTGCTCAGAAGAGGCGCGTGGCCACCTCTCTGCGAACTCTCTGGGTGGAGTTTGGGAGCTTCCATCGAGGACGCGCTCGCCGGAGGTTCATCATGCACAGATTTGTGTGTTTGGTGTTGTCGCTGTTCACTGGAGCCGGGGAGGTCGAGGGCGGGGGGGTGGTGCCTTGTGGGGCCGCGCGGGGAAAACCGGTGCCGGACACTGTGAGCGGCGCCGCCGTCCGCCCGCGCCACGGCGCCACGCGCGCGGGGCCGGCCGGGTTCGCGTTTTGTGGAGATGATCTATATTAAATAAATAAATAAAACGGTCAAACTCTGAGACGAGATGTGGGTGCTGAGCCGAGCGGCGGCGGGGCGGTGCCAAAGGAGGTTGTGGCAGCGGCTCGGCGAGGCGAGGCGAGGCGGCGGTGCTGATTTGGCTTGACGGCGGCGGGCGGGTCGATGCGACGTTCGTGCACGTCTTTTCGAACGGCCCTGAGAGCGGCATGACGCAGCTGATGATCGCAATGATGAGGGGCCACGAGGAGTTGGCCGAGGCGCTGCTCCAGCGCGGCGCGGATGCCTCGTTGCAGTCTAGCGATGGCGCCACCGCGCTGAGTAACGCCGCCTTGAATGGCCACGAGAAGCTGGTCGAGTTGGCGTTACGGCACGGCGCGGAGATCAACCTTCAGTGCCACTACGGCAACACTGCACTGATTTGGGCCGCTTACCGTGGCCACTCCGCCGCCCTCCTCTGCTTGCTGCGGGCGGGCGCAGACATGACGCTGCGCACTACGGATGGCTGGACCGCGCTGCAGCTTGCCATGAACAAGGGCCACACTGAGTGCGTGCGCGCCCTCGC